CCAATATTGAAGTATTCTTACGTTGCCGCTTGCTAAATGTCTATACAGGGTGGTTCGAATTGTATTCCGGAAACTTCGGCAGCATATTCTGCAGATAAAAATAACTTACCTCAGAAATTATTTGGAAAAAATCGAAATAAAAATAAAATTTCTACACCCTGTATCTCTGAAACTAAGTATTTTGGGACATACAGGGTGGCGCACCTCATTCGACTCGGTTGATTATACGAAAATAGAAAGATGTAGAAACAAAATATTTTATGGGTATATGTGGGGAGTCAAGGTGCACAATTTAAAATTATTTTGAAATATACAGGGTGTCTCAGAACTAAGATCCATACCGAAGTTATACCTTTTCTTATGGAACACCCGGTATTTTATTTCATTTTTGGATTTTTGAGCCCAAAAAAAGACATTTATTATAAGGGTTAAATATGTTTCAAATCACTGGTTTTCGAGATATTTAAAGTTATTTAAATATTATGCATGCTACAAAAGAATTGATTATCAATACCCTGTACATTACTTTTTAGAATTAATTCTTTTGCTGAGTTTAAAGGCAAAGAAATAAACTTTACTGAAATATGTTATTGCTTCCTTAAATTTATACAGGTGGACCTAAAATTAGTTATTTATTTTAAGGATTTATTTTACATAAAAACTTTGTTATTTCAAAGGCAACACCCTGTATTTTTTTAAATAAATCGAAGCAGATTCAAATGCTCTTTCAAACTATATTAGGGTTTCCTATACCTATCTATCACAGATTTTGAATAAAAAGCGATTTTTAAATAAAATAGCAATCAAAATGGCTGGTATCGCCATGGCAATTTTCTAGTGACAGCTCTGGTGACAATTAGTAACTATTTTTAAAATCGACATTAGTTTATAGACTTTATTTAAATCTATACCAGTTTACTTTTATTTAATTGACCTACAATAGTTTAATAAATAATATTTATTAATATGTATTTATTATTCTATCAAGAAAAAAGAAGAAGTAGTTCTTTGTTTTATTTTACGATAACTTGTAGATATATGATTTTTTTATAAAAGAGCCAATTACGGCAAATTCAATTTCTTCACTTCCTACAACAGGTTTCTGCCTAATAGGTTTTTTTATAAACTACACTACCAATTCTGCGAAATAGGAAATAGGACAAGTAGTTTTTCAAAGGAACGCTTATCAGGAAGATTCCTATTTGAATATCTTTCAGCATTAGCTCTTGAGGCCAAGAAATAATTTTCCTCGCAAAACAAAATCACTAGTAACATATCCATTTGTTCCACCAGCAGATATGGATTTATTTTTCTTCATAAAATAAAGAATACTTGCTTATTAAACTATTGTGGGTAAATTTTAGTAAACTGTTTAAATAATAATGTCCATATACTAATGTCGATTTTGGAAATAGTTACTAAATGTCACTAGAAAATTGCCATGGGAATACCAGCAATCTTGATTACCATTTAATTTAAAAATCGCTTTTTATTCAAAATCTGAGATAGATAGGTATAGGAAACCCTAATAGAGTTTGAAAGAGCATTTGATTCTGCTTCAATTTATTTAAAAAAATACAGGGTGTTGCATTTGAAATAACAAAGTTTTTATCGAGGGGTAAACCGCAGAGGAATTATGGTGTACACTATGAAGGAATTCTACAGAAATTCCAAGGAATTACGAGGAATTCCTAGGAATTACTAGGAATTCCAATGATTTCCGTAAGAATTCCGATGAATTCCAAGGAATTCCTTAGGAATTTAGAGGAATTCCACAGGAATTAAGAGGAATTACAAGCAATTTTATAAAAAATTAACGAACATTAGTAGACCATGAATACTAGAATAGGTAGTACTGAATTTAAAGAAAAACGTTTTGCAGGTGATTTTTTACTATCTGTTTTTCGTTTTCGAATCGCTTCCAAAATTTCCTAATATCAAATATCTACAGGTTAGATATTCTTTTAATTTAATATTGTATCCTCGATTATATATCTAAAATATATTCCAATAGTACGGCAGAACCACCCCGAGAGATCTACTTATAACGTTCCCTGATTTCGCCATTTTAAAGAAACCCTCATAAGATTTTTTTTATTCACTCATTTTATACTCAGAAAGTTGTTTTTTCATTTCCTCGGAATAATACCTAGGTATACTATAGGGAAATTAATTCAACTTTGGGTGCATTTCATCAATGACACCATGCGTAATCTTATGGAATTTACTGGTGATCGTATTATGACGTGCAACTGAAGTTTTATTAATTTCCTTTCCTATAGATACAACTAGGTACCTATCATTTTCAAAAAATCCCGAGAAAAATTAATTTTAATAAGTAAGTGCCGACATATTTCCAGTATTTTCACCTCATGATCCCCTATTAATCCTAAAATTTAACTAAAAAACGTAAATCTCGTAATAGTACTTTTTACTGTTAGATCAAGTACTTATAGAGACATTAGACATTTATAAAAATCACGAAAAAATTCATTGCGGAACTGCGAAACCGAGGTGGCAACGCTGATTCAGACTGAAAGAGTTACCGAGTTCCTACCAAGGAATTCTAAGGAAGACCTTGAATGCTTGACCTTGACCTTGAAGACCAAGGAATTCCGAAGGAATTACGAGGAATTCTGAGGAATTATTTGAGTAAAAGGAATTACGGTGTACACTTTTCCCTCTGCGGTTTACCTCTCGGTTTTTATGTAAAATAAATCCGTAAAATAGGTCACTAATTTTTGGTACCCCTGTATAAATTTAAGGAAACAATAACATTTTTCAGTAAAGTTTATTTCTTTACCTTTAAACTCAGCACAAGAATTAATTCTGAAAAGTAATGTACAGGGTGTTGATAATCAGTTCTCTTGTAGCATGCATATATAAATATATTTAAATATCTCAAACACCAATAATTTTAAACATATTACTTATAATAAATGCCTTTTTTTGGGCCCAAGAATCCAAAAATGAAATAAAATACCGGGCGTTCCATAAGAAAAAATATAACTTTGGTATGAATCTTAGTTCTGAGACACTCTGTATATTTCAAAATAATTTTAAATTGTGCACATTGCCTCCCTACATACACCCGTAAAATATCTTGTTTCTACATCTTTCCGTTCTCGTATAATCAACCGAGGCAAATGAGGTGCGCCACCCTGTATATTCGACTTATTTTTATCTGCAAAATAAAACACTAATGGTGGGTTCATACAGCCAAATAAAATAAAATAAGAATAAAATAAAATAAGAAATAAGGAATTCTTATTTGTGCGCGTTCATACAGTCAAATAAAATAAAATAAGAAATATATATTTGCTCATGCGCAGTACGATGAGGCTGGATAAAAGTTAACTTTTACGATTGTTTATAGTAATTTTACTATTTATAGTATATTTATTTATTCGTTGCCTACTATATTATACATTTTACTTATGTGAAATTATAAAATAAATTAAATCCAAACTGAAAATATTTGTAGGTTAGAATTAAGCGTGCGCAAAGCCGTTTTCACATAAAATAAAACAAGAAGTTAAAAGATAAAGTCTTCTTATTTTATTTGTTATTTTATTTGGCTGTATGAACGCATGTACGGTATCCCATATAACCAACTTTCTTATTTTATTTTATTTTATTCTTATTTTATTTTATTTGGCTGTATGAACCCACCATAAATCACCACAATACAAAAAACTGAGTTTTTAATCATCTTCTGATGATGCTAACATTGTTAGCGAAACGCGGGTCCAGTGTAAAAGTAAGTGTTTTGGTTAGGTATTGTGGTGATTTAGTGTTTTATTTCGCTGTGTAACACCAAAGGTTCCAACCCTCAACTGTAATTATTTTTATCTGCAGAATATGCTGGCGAAGTTTCCGGAATACAGTTCGGGCCACCCTGTATAATGCAGTATATTTCAAATACTATACAGTATTGGTAAATACTATACAGTATTGTATTGACCACAAAACATCCCCCTTTAGAACTTTTTCTTTAATGGCCATAAGCGGGAGTAAAAGACCAACCGCCCAGACAAACACTAGAGGCGCCACCGGTCTTCGAATGGTGTAAAAATTGCGAAAATTTAATCATCTAATTTTGACACAAGGGGTCGCGCTTAACTTTTTCAATTTTAATTCAATATGCATTGTTTTTTCAAACTATATTATTAGACTTTGTTGTATTTTGTGAATGTATAAATGTTTTCTTAGTATAAAGTTGCATTATAGTAATTTAAATTATAGTACATACATATTTAAGATTCAAATATTATGACATATGTCAGTTGCTGTCTAAAATGTCATCTCGATAAAAAGTTAGTTATTGTCAAAAGTAGTTAAAATCATGTTAAAATATTAAAATTTACAAGTTATAATTAGATATTTTATATTATTTCAACAACAAACACATAATAGTACAGAGTAATAGCAGGTCCAAAACAAAAAGTGTTGTTATATTTTTTTTTAGTTTTCATTGTCAGCCAGTGATTTTAGTGTTGTCGGATATTTTTATTTATGAAATAGAAATATTGCGTTTGGATTGCAAAACTAAAAGTGGAAGTTTTATTGCAATGTAAGTAAGCGTTTGTCCATTTTATATTTTACTTTTTTCATACCTACGACAAATATACATATATTGAAATTTTATAATTTGTTTCATTTAAGAAATGTTAGAAAACAAGCTTGTAATCCTGTAATTGACATAATTGTTATGTAATATATTCCATTTAAATGTAATATATTACTTTTCAATTAAAAAAATGTAAATTTAAAAAATCTATTAAAAATATATACAGGCATTAATTGAAATTTTTTGAGTGCGAACAAACACGAGAAGCGCTTTATTATTTACTTTCATTTCTTAACATGACAGACGAAGTTCTAAAGGTGGATGTTTTTTATGGTACTGGTTGGTGCTTATACATGTTATTATAAGTGAATGTTCCCGGATAATTACAACACTAATTATAATAATTAAAGCTGATAGTAGATAGATTTACCCTTGTTGCTCATCCAATTCAATACCAATATGTCTAGACACTGTCTTTAGTGTACCTAAACTTCCAGCTATAGCTTCTAATTGGTCATCTTGATTTTGAACTTCGTACATTTGTTGTTTCTTCAAAAATTGATGTTGAGGGCTTTCCACTTCATTTTCTAGCTTTGCATATTTTGTACTGCCGTGCATGTTTGTTAATCTTACCGGACTACTACTTTCTAGAAGTGGCTAAAAAAATAATTTTATAAGTAACAACTTAATTACAAAGTTGCTAAAAATTCTACCTGTCTAGACATAAGATCTCGATCTCTTCCTCTATTCATGTTGATTTGTTCTTTTATGCACAATATTTCATTTTTTGTTGAATCAATAAAATTCTTTCTCTTAGTCAGCTCTTTATTGTCGATTTTAAACTTTGTAGGGTTCTTCTCCACAATTTCTATAGTATCTTCTAAATCTTCCAAATCCCATTCGATACTTCTTAAAGAATTTTTCAATTCAGTATTAGTCCAATCAATTTCATCTTTTGTTATTAAGTCGGAATCATTTTGAAAATCAGACCAACGTCGGTAAAGTCCTCTAGTCTTTTTTAATGCTCTAAAAACTTCACTAAAAAAATAAAGAAAATGTAACAAATTAAAAATTAAAAAAAAAATTATTATATCAATCAAAAAAAGCCAGCTGAGCTGAAAACTACCTCTGTCTAACTAATGTATTAGAAGAATAATTGTAACTAAAAATACACACTTTTTAAAGCCAAACTAAAAACAAAACCATTGGAATTCTGCATGCAAGGTGTGGAAGTCAATTCTTACTCTTTGACAACGAAAAAAGGATCTTCTAAAGTCATTGGAGAAAGTAATATTAATACTAAAGAGAGTTTTAAGGTATAATTATCTTTTAAAATAAAGATAATCAAGAAGAAACATTTTACTTGTTATTTTTAACAAATCACCACCAAAAACATAAACTGACAGACAACCTTACTGACAACTGACATGAATCTGTGACATCTGTGTGACATGAATATAGAGATGTCACACGTCAATGTCAAAAAGCGCCATCTGAAATAACCTTTCCCAACCTAAATGGATCAATCAGGGATGGGGCTCAAAAATGCCTCACTTTTTATACTTTTGGTTAGTGTAAAATACACATAAGTAATTAAAGATGTAAAACTAAATATGGGTATACCCTAAATATGTAATAAATCCGTAGTTTATGACGTCTAGTGTCAAATTTAAAAGTTCTACTTTTCTTTTGAGAAAACATCTGGAAAACGTGTATCTGCAGCAGGGTTCAGAAGTAGTTAATTAAGACGTAATTTACCTGATTAACTACGTGTAGTTTTTCTTCAAAAACTACGTCTTTTCGCGTTCATTAACTACATGAAAACTACGTTAATAAACTATGTATTGATATTATGAATAATTTTGCTTTGTATGAGGGGTCTAAATAATATGATGTGTGAATATTATATTCAAAGCCATATTTCTTGTTTTCTTAAATACATTGTGTGGTAATACCCATTGTGTTTTCCAAAGCTTCAACTTATTATAAACCTCACCTCAAACCTTTGATATTTGAAAGTTACATAAACTACACCTACATTACATGTAGTTAATGTAGTTTTTAAAAGTAACATGTAGTTTTCCGAACCCTGATCTGCAGTATAAACAGTGCATCTGTGCAGTGCATTTAAAATGTCTATGCTTATGTTTTACAAGGGTTTTACTATGGGATATAGTACACCTATAGTACATCCTCCATTATATGTTTTGTGGTAATAGACTGACGATATATAATCAATGTAATCTAAATTCTGTGAATCTGATGTATTGTAAGCAAAGATATTAAAATTGCAAGGTAATATTTTAATCTTGGCGCCAAGAGTGGGCATCGCTCACTGCGCATTCTGTTCCGTTTCCGTTTGGAATTTGACATATGTTTGACATTTAACATCTCTGACGTCCTTTTGCAAATGGCTGTTCTCGTGTGAGAAACACTTTTCAGTTTGGAAATTTGTTTACTCTTAATTGAAGGAGTTTTCAATAATATTTTTATATAAAAGTAAGTTTATAAAATGTATATTTTGTAAATCTCATGTAGTTTATCATCACTCACAGTTTATCCTCTAAAGCTAATATCAACAGAACTATAACCAATATTCCTAGCAAATTATACACGTGTTTTATATTTTTTCCAATAATTCTATTATTTAATATAAAATGATGTTATTTATTTTAATTTTCTGACACCTCTTGTCTGAATATTCTTGTTGATTTTTATAATAAGTCTGATTAAAGATTGTAGAATATTATTTTTAAATTGATTTAAGTAGATATCTGAATTATTTATTATTTAAATTGTAGACCACTCGATATGTCCGATAATTGGGGGGACGATGCTCCCGTAGCAGCACCACAAAAAATAGCCGAAATTCCCGAAATAAAGCTTTTTGCTAAATGGAACTGCGATGATGTTCAAGTATCTGACATGTCTCTCCAGGTATGTTAAAAAATAGCAAATCAATAAACATTTATTCATTTTCTCAGAACGTTTGTATTATTTTAGGATTATATAGCAGTCAAGGAAAAGAATGCCAAGTATTTGCCACATTCTGCTGGTCGATATGCGGCAAAAAGATTCCGCAAAGCTCAATGCCCAATTGTTGAAAGATTGACCAATTCTTTGATGATGCACGGTCGCAACAATGGTAAAAAATTAATGGCAGTCCGCATTGTAAAACACGCTTTTGAAATTATTCATTTATTAACTGGAGAAAACCCCTTACAGGTAATAAAGGAAAAAATCAGATATTTTCAATGTATTTTGATTTAATACATTTAAAAAAGGTATCCATGATGACACTAAACTTAATTAATTTTTCTGACACCTCTTCAGACATAATTCATGGTGATTAGTATATCTGATAATTATTATAAACTATAGCTATTTGTTGGTCTTGTATAGGGTTGATAGTATTTTTTTAAATTTGTTTTAGGTGTTAGTAACGGCCATTATTAATTCGGGACCTCGTGAAGATTCTACTCGTATCGGTAAGGTTACTTTAATATCTTATAAATAATATAGTCTGTCCAACGAGTTAGGGAAGATCTTCATATCTATTACGGTTTCTGAGATAACAATGTTCGTACTTCGAATTTGTAGCACCCTGTATAGTATGAAATTTACATTTTTAAATCTAGACCTGCTTGCATTTTAATATAATAGTTATGAAAACATCTTTTTTTGTTACCATTATTTTATTTTAGATTTCACACTTGTATAGTAATATATGTTGATTAATTTTTAGGTAGAGCGGGTACAGTAAGGAGACAGGCTGTGGACGTATCGCCCTTAAGAAGAGTAAATCAAGCCATTTGGCTTCTTTGCACTGGCGCTCGTGAAGCAGCATTCAGAAATATAAAAACTATTGCTGAATGTTTAGCTGATGAACTAATAAATGCTGCTAAGGTAAAGAAAAATTATTTCTTGCTAGTTGGCAGAACCTTGTCACATAATATGATCTAACAAAAGCATATTTAGCTATCATATGATAAAAAAACGCCAAGGACGGCTGCGGAATAACAGTTGATGACAATTTTGGCGAGGTCAAACCCTAATCTTTGTATAATTAGTGTTGATTTTTGAAGTTTTATGTCAATTTTTTAGTAAATCACTGATTTATATGAGATTGATATCGCCAAAATTACCAGCAATTATCATTCCTCAGCCATCTTTACTGGATAATTTCTAATAAACAGTTTATGAAGAACCAGAATTTACAAGAACTGTAGAAGTATATAATTAAGTTTTGCAAAAAGATATTTATGATGAATTCCTTTTATATTCTGACACCTCTTGACAGAAATTAATCTTGTTGACATTAATAAATAATAATCTGAAATATCATATTATGCTTTTGTTGTTGCTTTTATTTCATATTACGAGGTATTTATTACTTAATATATATTTTTCAGGGTTCCTCCAACTCTTATGCTATCAAAAAGAAAGATGAACTGGAACGTGTCGCTAAGTCTAACCGTTAAGTTGTATATTAAGATACTCTGTATGGAATTACAGATAAATAAAATTTTATAAATATTTCATACTAGTTTTTTTTTCTTGTAATATAATTTAATGTAATATAGCACGAGTTTTATTCATATTCATATTATGTCCAACATGGTCATAAACTAGATTTATCGAGCCGCTACAGAATATTTTATTTGAATTTCTTGATTTTAAAATTTAATGTATCACATTATTTCTGTTCCTTAAACAGTGGTTCCCAGATAGGTCATTACTTAGAAATATTTATTTCAAAATGTTTGCATAAAACTGTTGCTAATACTTTTCTTATATTCCCCTGTAAACGATACATAATAAATAACAAAATCAAGTAAGCCTAGTGTAGCGCTTGTTTTTTATTAGAAATGTCACATTTTTGCTACTGTATCAAGCTGACATAAACAGTTTTCGGATAACGCCAATTAATTACTTATTTTATTAAAATTGATAAAAGCTGTTGCCTTTTCTGTAATGGACGTTCGAAAAGAAGGTAAAAACTGTTTTTTCTTTTTTCCACTTAATTAAACCTAAGTAATATTAGTTTATGGCAATTTATTTGAAGGTAACAAAGGTCACTTGTCACTCTTTAAGACTTTTAACTACTTTCCCTTACAAGTCCTCTCAAACTGCATGAAAATACTTGTTGCTTAAAGTATATTGCATATAAATTAATTGCCACTGGCTGCCGCGAATTGCCGCCAGATCTTATACCAGGTGGTTAAAGATTGACTTTTTGTCTTGAAATAGAAGTAACTTATTTTTTCCTCTTCTTGTTAACTTATTTCGTGGACACGCTGTATATCAATTACCCTGTATGATTTAAGATTACGATATTTGTATCAAAGTAAGTATTTATACAAACCCACTATAGGTAGTAAATACCAGGACATTTCTAGTATTTTTAATAATTTTTTTGATATAAGGCTGAAAAAAAATATTTTTTTAATTTATTTATTAATATCCTTGAAACTATCATAAAATATTTAATAATATTTTAGAATTATGTAAAGTGATCAAAAAGGAAGCAAAAATGCAATAGTATACAGGGTGTTCCATTTAAAAAAATTATACCGATCGACTGACACTTTTTTAAGCCATCCTGTAAAAGTTAAAATATTTTCCTGACATACATCCTAATACATACTTTAGGTTGGCACTTAAATAAAATTCCTAACTTTCTTATTATAGAAGCTACAGATGCCCGACGCACTATTACCGAACCCTGTATACATTTTTTGAATCTTTCTATGGTGTAAAATTCGTCAATTTTTAATCATAAAAATATCGTGTCATGATCGAGGTTAACTAGTATAAGAAATGTACCAGATCTGGCAACGTCGCTACTGCTCTGACTGCCTGTAGGGGTAGTAACACACACAACACAACACCCGGTATATTAAAATTTGGGTAAATACTCGATGATTTATATCCAGTAATATACTCAGTAGGTATATACAGGGTACATTCAAATTAAGTAAATACTATATACCCGGTATATACTATAGAAGTATGTTTATTTTAGTTTGATAAATAATTCAATTTTACAAGGAGGTTCCCCAACGAAATATACTCTATGTATATACTCTTCATCTTCTGGGTATATACCAGATATATGCCTATATTTCCTTATTACACACATTGGGTATTTACCCACCGCCCATCACTGGTGAATTCTCAACAGCTGCGAAGTCGACTGGTTGTCTAAAAAGTAGGCCGTGGTTGAAATAAAACTCGGTTTTCATAAAAACATGAATGTTTTATTTTTTCTCGATTTCCAAATGATGAGTAATCGTAGGTTGAACTTAGATATTAAGCGTAACATCATTCTGACCAAAAGCCTAAATTGGCCCACATCTATACACCGCCCTAATGTCATTTCTTCTACCAGTCTTATTTCATTTAACCATATTTTGTTTTATTTTTTAAACCCTGTTAATAAAATGTTCTCTGCGTTACAGGCGGTACTACTAAAAAAGTTTCAACCTTATTGAATTGTCCAATAATAATTAAAGAAACATTATTTAGAAATACTGTGTTTTATATAATATACTTTGGGTAAAGAACAAACGCAATATAATATGTAATAAATTAAATTATAATGATATAAGTCAAAATATCAAGGGAAAATTGGTTTAAAAAAATCGTGATAATGTTTTTTAAAAATTGATAAGACTAAGTATTAATAATTGATAAACATTCCCTACACTATGACCAAAATGTTTCACGATATATTTCGTGAAACATTCCGCGAAGCATTTCTTCAAATACTTTCAAAAGCAAACCCAATGCTTTTCTTATGTTGCGGCTTATCTTTTAAGCTTAAACAGATCGAAATCTGTTTCAAAAATTCCGAAACTCAGAAACAGATCGAAAAATAAATGCTGTATGAATAAATATCATTAGTTTGTAACGGAGTGTAAGGGAAAATCATGGTGAACACGAGTCCACATCTGCTAGACCAGAAAACGGACTATATGCTCACCAAACATGATTTTGGGGAAAAGATAAGGATTCGATCACGACAAGAGAATATATATATATATATATATATATATATATATATATATATATATATATATATATATATATATACTATATATATATATATATATATATATATATATATATATATACTGCTATCTCTTGAGTGTTCATTACTCGGTTGCTTTCCCATTCTTCTCTTGTCGGGATCGAATCCTTATCTTTTTCCCCAAAATCATGTTTGGTTTATATATATATATATATATATATAACCAATATATATATTATATATATATATATATATATATATATATATATATATATATATATATATATATATATATATATATATATATATATATATATATATATATATATTACGTCATCCCTTCGTGGGACATAAGGCTTCTAAGAGATGTTTCCATCTGATCCTATCCTGAGCTGTCTGTTTGATCTCTCCCATGTTTTCTCGACCTCTTGGCTTCAGAGGTTACTGTTCTTCTCCAGGTATTCCTTGGTCTTCCCCTGGCACGGCTTCCCTGTGGATTCCATTCAAGTGCCTGTCTAGCGATATCTCTGTGGGGTCTGCGCAAAATGTGCCCAATCCAGCCCCACTTTCTTTTCTTAATTTCGATATCTATTCGATTTTGTCATGTTCTTCTCCACAGTTCTTCGTTGTTAATTTGATTGGGCCAGAAAATTCTCAATATTCTTCGAAGGCACTTGTTAACAAACACCTGTAGGCGATCTATGAGACCACGCGTAACCTTCCATGTTTCGCATCTATAAAGCAAAACAGATTTGACATTGCTATTGAAGAGCTGGACTTTTTGCTATATATAGATGAGTTCCACATATGTGTAAGCATGCCAAAAGCTCTTTGTGCCTTCAAAATCCTTTCCTCTATATCTTTCTCTGTGCCCCCATCGCTGTAAACCATACTTCCCAGGTACTGAAATTCATCAACTCTTTCGATGGCTCGGTTGGAGAGGTATAGATCTTGGTTGTTGGGAGTATTTGACCTCATTTCTTTGGTTTTCGCCACGTTGATTTGAAGACCGACATTATTAGCTTCCTCTTGGAGTCTAAGAAGTTTTTGAGACATATCCGAATGTGAATGGGAAAAGATGCATAGATCGTCTGCGTAATCCAGGTCTTCTAGCCTGCTTAAGAGTCCCCATTGTATCCCTAGTGGTTCTTTAAATGCTCTATTTAGTGCTACATCCAGAACGATGTTAAAGAGTAGCGGCGAAAGTATACAGCCCTGTTTTACACCTACTGCAATAGAAATTTTCTCCCCCACTTAACCTTTATGTAATACACAGCTTGTAGCATCATGATAAAGCATTTTAATCATGCGGATTATTTTTTCGGGTATTCCTTTTTCCCTCAAAGCTTTCCAGATGGCTATGTGTTTTATAATATCGAATGCTCTTTGAAAATCCACGAACACCATGTATAATGGCGATCTCTTGAGATTGCTCTATTATTATTCTGAGAGTATTAATTTGGTCGATACATGATCTTTGAGGCCTAAAGCCTGCTTGTTCTTTTCTCAAAGTCGGTTCAAGGGCATCTGATATTCTTTTTTGGATGACTGTAGCAATTATCTTGTTAATGGTTGCCAGTTCTTACACTGGTATAAGTCGCCCGTCTTGGGGAGTTTTACAATAAGTCCTTCTTTCCACGTTGACGGGATATGTTCTGTTTCCCAACTGCTTTCTATTATTGTCTCTAGTAGCTGTGCAATGTTTTCTGGGTGTATCTTAAATAGTTCAACGGGTATATTATCAGGACCTGCCGCTTTGCCAGTTTTAAGCTGTGATAATGCTTGCTTAATTTCTTGAATCTTGGAGCAAATGTTGCGATTCTAGTATTTGCAGTTCTCTGTTGGAGACATCCGACGAGTCTACACAGATGCTTCCGCAAATTCAGGGGCACAGGTCATCTTCCTCAGAGTGAACTAGACATCAGAGGATACGCCATTGAGGCTAGCGGATGGCTGTATACGTTCTAAAATTGCTGATAGACCAATAGGGAATATAGTGAGATATACTCTGACAGCTTGACCGCTTTAAGAAGCATCACCATGCAATCAGTGAGATCGAAAACTGTGATGGAATGCCGAGAAGCGTCCGAATGCGATGGATGTCCTGGCTGCGTCGGGGCGGGGCTACTCTGTGCTGGGTGCCAGGCCACAGCAATGTGGTGGGCAATCAGGAAGCAGACAGACTTGCCAAAGACAGGGCCAGGGGAGAGGCCGTGGCAGATGACCCACCACTTGTGACGATCAACACACTGACACAAATTACCTATAACAGATGCGAAAGAAAGCGACTGCATCGGAAACCGCTCGGCAAACCCGACACGCCTATTGAGTGGTGTAAATACACCAGTCGTTTAGTCCGGAAACCTATGCTGTGTCGTGTTCGCTTGCTGGAATGACATAGTGCGTGGTTATATGTTTCTTTTTAAAACGCGTGTAGGATTTTGTTGAACTTTTGAACTGTTATTTCTAAGTTTTGGTAATTTGTATATCTTATTTAAAATGGGATGC